GCTCAGGCTCACTGGGCCTGCCTGAAGCTCAGCAAAGGCAGCTCAGAACCAGCTCTAGGGGAGCCTAACGCCTGCCCACGGTGTTCTGTGGGCGTCAACTCCTCCTGCTGCCAGGGGGCGCAGTCAGGCGGCACCTGTGTGGACCTGGTCAGAGCAGCATCAGCAGTAAGAGGTGGGACAGAGAGGATCCCAAGTGACCACAAAAGGTGTTCAATCAAGGTGTTAACCAAGTGCAATGCACTCTGCTATAATGTATTCTACTCGAGTACACACACACACACACATTCGAGTTAAGGTCCACTAACCAGTGTTTCTCAAAGTGCAGTCTTTTCAGGGGGTGAAAAGTGAAACTGTTGGTGGCTCAGTTGTGTCTGACTCTTTTTTTTCCCTATGTACAGTAGATAAAAGTTTTATTAGACTGCAGAGTGTTGTTTCATTGAAATTAAGATGAACATGTTTCACACAAGACATTTTGCCATGAAGTGAAGTGAAGTCGCTCAGTCGTGTCCGACTCTTTGTGACCCCATGGACTGTAGCCTACTAGGCTCCTCGGTCCATGGGATTTTCCAGGCAAGAGTAGTGGAGTGGGTTGTCATTTCCTTCTCCAGTGTCTGACTCTTTGTGGCCCCATGGACTGTAGCCCACCAGGCTCCTCCGTCCATGGGGGTTCTCTAGCCAAGAATACTGGAAGTGACATTATCAGAGAAATGCAAATCAAAACCACAATGAGCTACCATCTCACACCAGTCAGAATGGCTGCTATCAAAAAGTCTACAAACAATAAATGCTGGAGAGGGTGGGGAGAAAAGGAAACCCTCCTGCACTGTTGGTGGGAATGCAAACTAGTACAGCCACTCTGGAGAACAGTGTGGGGATTCCTTAAAAAACTGGAAATAGAACTGCCATATGACCCAGCAATCCCACTCCTGGGCATACACACCGAGGAAACCAGAATTGAAAGAGACACGCCCCAATGTTCATCACAGCACTGTTTATAATAGCCAGGACATGGAAGCAACCTAGATGTCCATCAGCAGACAAATGGATAAGAAAGCTGTGGTACATATATACAATGGAATATTACTCAGCTATTAAAAAGAACACCTTTGAGTCAGTTCTAATGAGTTGCCTATTATACACAGTGAAGTAAGTCAGAAAGAGAAACACCAATACAGTTTGTTAACACGTATATATGGAGTTAAGAAAGATGGTAACAATGACCCTATATGCGGGACAGTAAAAAGAGACACAGAGATAAAGAACAGACTGTTGGACTCTGGGAGAAGGCGAGGGTGGGATGATTTGAGAGAATAGCACTGAAACATGTGTATTACCGCATATGAAACACATCACCAGCCCAAGTTCAACGCATGAAACAGGGCACTCAAAGCCAGGGCTCTGGGACAACCCTGAGGGAGGGGACGGGGTGGGAGGTGGGAGGGGGTTCAGGATGGTGGGATGCATGTGCACCCATCGTTGATTCATGTCAATGTTTGGCAAAAACCACCACAATATTGTAAAGTAATTAGCCTCCAATTGAAATAATTTTTTTAAAAAAGAACACTGGAAGTGAAAGTGAAGTGAAAGTCACTCAGTTGCGTCCAATTCTTGCGATCCCATGGACTGTAGCCCACCAGGCTCCTCTGTCTATGGGATTCTCCAGGCAAGAATACTGCAGTGGGTTGCCATGTCCTTCCTCAGGGGATCTTCCTGACCCAGGAATCGAAGCGAGTCTCCTGCATTGCAGGCAGATTCTTTACTGAAGAATACTGGAGTGGGTTGCCATGTCCTTCCTCAGGGGATCTTCCGGACCCAGGAATCGAAGCGAGTCTCCTGCACTGCAGGCAGACTCTTTACTGAAGAATACTGCAGTGGGTTGCCATGTCCTTCCTCAGGGGATCTTCCGGACCCAGAGAGTGAACCTGCCTCTGAGCCTCCTGCATTGCAGGTAGACCCCTTACCCCTGAGTCACTGGGGAAGCCCTTTTAGGGGGTCTGTGAGGTCAAAACCATTTTCGTAATAACATTAAGATGCTATCTGTCTTCTTCACACCCATTCTCTCCGAGTGTTTGGTGGAATCTTCCAGAGGTTTGGGGTGTGTGGTATCAGAACAGATTGCAGATACAGGTCTGAGAACCCAGCTGTCTCCCTTTAAGCCAGATGCTAAACAGCTTCACAAAAATGTAAAATAATTCTACTCATCTCACTAAATTTGTTCTGGAAAATATAGTTATTTTTCTAAATAAAGTATTATTTAGATAGAACAAAATTTAATAGGCTTATTATTTACAAACAAATACTTTCAACATTTCTATTTTCATTTCTAAATGTAATCCACGTACAGAAAATGTCTTTGGGTCCTTGCTCTATGCAAGTATAAATAAAGGAGTCTTGAGATTTAAAAAGAGGTGGGAGAGAAAAAAAAAAGCCGAGGATCACTTCACTAAATTGATCCATGACCTTCAAAAGAATCACAGCCCATAGTTTGGTGGGCAGAAGACAGCTCCTGTTAACTGCCACTCTCTCTTCCAAAGTGAACGGCCATTCCCCTGGCTGACCCCAGGCTCGGTCAAGTTCAGTTGATGAAGGCAGAAGTTCTGATCCTGGCTGCACGTTTTAAGCATCTGGGAGACATTAAAAATGACCATAGCCTGCGCCCCAGCTCAGAGCAATGAACCAAAATTGCTGGGGATGGGGCAGAGGCCTGTTCTTTTGTTGTTGCTGTTCAGTCGCTCAGTCGTGTCCGACTCTCTGAGACCCCACGGTCGATAGCCCTCCAGCTCCTCTGTCCATGGGATTTCCCAGGCAAGCATACTGGAGTGGGTGGCCTTTTCCTTCTCCAGGGGGCCTTCCCAACCCAGGGATTGAACCCACACCTCCTGCATCTCCTATACTGCAGTTAGACTCTACCACTCAGCCCCAGGGAAGCCTCTCCTAGTTCACCCCACTATTCTAACGTTTATCACCACAGGTTAGTTTTTCCTGATTCTGACCTCCATATAAATGGTAACACACAGTATACATGTACTCTTGTTATGTCTGGCTTTTTATGCCCAACATTGTATCTGTGACATTCATTCATGTTGCTAGGTAGAGCAGTAATTTTTCGTGTTTGCAGGGCTGTGTGGTTTTCCACTGTATAAACAGGACACAGTTTATTGATCATTCTACCCCTGACAGAGTTGGCTGGTCCCTTCAAACTTCTCTTAAGTGTGGTGACATGCCCTTACCATAAACTGATGCGGGAACTGGGACTCATTAGAGGACAGAAACAGCACCTTCCCACCATCCAGCTCAAGGATATGGCTACTGACATGCAAATCCTAGTTTTCCCAACTATTGAAAATTAGTAGTTTCTCTTTTCTTTCTTTCCTGTTTTTAATAAAGCATAGTTAAATTTGCATAAATGAAAAAGTGTCTCCAAACCTGTGTAGAGATTTAAAATCAAAAGTTACATGGCCTTGAATGCTGGATGAATTTAGATTTGGTCCCACTGGCCAACTGTGAGTACACTCTTGCTAAATTGTGTATGGTTTGTTTTTTCAAACTTATTTCCATCTAAACGTCTTCATCTTATGTGAGACATATCCAGATATCAGTATGCTTCAGTCGTGTCTGACTCTTGCGACCTTATGGACTTGTAGCCTGTCAGGCTTGTCTGCCCTTGGGATTCTCCAGGCAAGAATGCTGGAGTGGATTGCCATTCCCTTCTCCAGGGGATCTTTCTGACCCAGGGATTGAACCTGAGTCTCTTTACGTCTCCTGCATTGGCAGGCAAGTTTTTTATACCATTAGCACCACTTGGGAAGCCCCAGCAGAATTACTCAAACGAATCCGTATACCAAATCCAACCCCTTCAACAGTACTTCTCCAAATCTGCTTGATTCAGTGGAAGGCAGTCATCTACTCAGTTCCTTGATTCAACAAAAACCTAGGAGTGACCCTTGATTCACAACTCCTCTTGTGACCAGCCTACCCTGAACAACCAGATCCAGCTGTGTCAACAACAGACGTTATAAAGCTACCCGTTCCCCGCCAGCCCCACCGCTACCCCTCTGCAAGCACTCTGCCTGGACTAATGCAATAGTCCCCTGACCAGTCTCCTTACGTCCACAGTCTTGCCCCACACCAAGCCCCCTCCGAACCCACCCGCCATTCACTGCCCAGTGGCTTATATTTTTTTGGCTGGGCCTTGTGGCTCGTGGGATCTTAGTTCCCCAGGGACTGAACGTGCGCCCTTGGCAGTGAAAGGAGTCCTAACCACAGGACTGCTAGGGACTTCCCCCCCGTGGCTCTTAAAGACACAGATCGGGCCGTGTCACACTTTTCCCTAAAACCTCCTGATGGCTCAGTATCTAAAGTGCCTCACACCCATCACAGTGACAGGTCAACCTGACATCCCACGCTGGCCCACACAACCCTCACAGCCTCCAGCAGCAGGCAAGCACTAGGCCCCCTGCTGGCCTAGGACACACAAAGCTCCCCCACCGGCAGGTCTCTGCCCCCGCTGCTCAGTTCAGAACGCTCCCTCCTGCCCCTCATCTTCATAAACAGCGCCTGACTCTGCTGATCACATCTCAACCCCACTGTCTCCTCTCAGCAGCCTTCCCTGACCACCACGCAGCTGTCCCTTAGACACATATCTGATGGCGAGGACACATTAAATGTCTCCTTCTCCAAAGTCTGAGAGTTTGAACTCTGGGCTTCGAAGACAAACAGCGGGGAGGATACAACTGCCCTTTGAAAATTACATGAATGCCTTTTTTGCCATATGGTAATGCAGTATTTATTCTGTCCATTAGTAACTACTATTTGATAACATTTATAATATTAATAGAACTTAATATAAAAAGTTCAACCTACTTTTTTTTTTTAAACATTTCAATACTGGATATTAATCAAAAAGACAGTCTAAATTAGTATGGTCAAAACCTTTATGTCAAAAATTTATAATAAATGTTTGGTATTAGTCCACATACAGTTAAGTTTTTGGTGTAAAGTTATTTGGCTTCAAGAAAGAACATTTGGTTTACTTCACTAATAGGAATATCTCTTAGTGCTGGGATGGCCTCTTCTTGGTCTTTCTTGTGCTGTTGATTTTTGGCATAGTTATCTGTAAGAAGAAGACAGAAGGCTCTGTTTATCCAAGTAATTTCTTCAACTGTTGGTCTCTGTGCTTTGTGGAGACCAACCATGTAGTGTACTGGGCTAATGTTTGGATAATGACAAATACCATGTGTAATGTAATTAAAAGGCCCTTTAAGTCCTCTTTTTAGAAGAAATGTCCCAATTAGAATAAAAACCAGCAAAGTACTTTTTGCAACCTCTAACTTGGATAAGAAATTAATATTTCATTCAACTGTACAATGATGATTCAAGTCCCATTTGCACACTGCTCATAGGAACAGAATTACACCAATACCCCAAAACTATGAAACTATTTGGTACAATCCTCATGCAAACTTTACAATTTCCCCTCTGTGTACAAACTGTCTATCTGCTGTAATTCCAACCAAATATGTAGGTTATCAGAAAAGAAGTATCGGAAAGTTAAAAAAAAAACCTTACCAGAACTTAAAAAAACACTTCTAGAATCCAAACAAGTTCAGGAATCTAATTTTTTTTTTTTTTTTTTAAATTTTGGCCGAGTCTCACAGTTTGCAGGACCTTGGTTTCCTGACTGGGGATTGAACCCGCACCACAGCAGTGAAAGTTGGGAATCCTAACCATTAGGCCACTGGGGAACTCCCAAGAATCTAATCTATTTTAATTTTTAGACTTGAAATGAAAGAAGTTAAAAAAAAAAAGAAACCCTACAAAACCATTCTGTGACTCTTCTGACCATGTAACTGGTGTCTGGGATACACAGTGACCCCGAGGACACCCTCCCCCTGCCACCCAAGTTCTTCCTCCCAGACAGAGTCTGCAGGGACCTCTTTGTCATTCCTGGATCCACACAGCCTGTTTAGGATAACAGAAATTTCTCTCAGGCAGAGTTGCCAGGGAACACATTACGTATTTGTGGTTTTTATAGGAAAATGCACTTGTTAACTAGTACTATCAAACAGTGTATTCACAAAGCTTACTTGTGCCCGTGACCACGTTCTTGGTGTAACTGTTTATTTCTCCCAGGTTCTTTTTACTGCAACCACTTGTGTCACTTTTAGCCTGCTTTTGGCCACTTCTCTTGATAGAAGTGTTAATACCCCCTCCTGCCTCCCCTAGCACTTTCCTCGGTTATAAATTTACCTGTGATATTATGAATGGAGTCGAGTGGAGAGGTACTCATCATGTTTATTCCAAATAAGAGGATGTAACCGATGACTATGGTAATGAGGAGATACACAGGCAGAGCAACGGCCCAATACCTGCAGAAGAGAATATTAAAATAGGTAACAGACTTCACAAAAAGCTGCGGTTCTCAAGAGCTCATCACCAAGTTAAGACACTTTTAAAGTGTATCTTTTGGCCGTGGTGGGTCTTCATTGCTATACTTGGGCTTTCTCTAGCTGTGGAGAGCAGGCTTCTCTTTTTTTGGGGCACGGGAGCTGCTTCCTCTAGTGTTTACCTACACTTTTCTATACAACGTACTCATATCATTGCTTTTTGATTTTTTTTCAACTTCAGGTATTTTCTCTGAACTTCCTAATATGGACATGAAGATGTCTATATAAATAATGTTTGCAACTGAGCACCGTAATGTATTATTATTTTATGTCTTGTACAACTTTTTGTTTTTCTTGGAATTAAGTCATTACCACTTTTAGTCTGTTTTCTTGGTTTTCTGTGTACCTATCAATAGTCAATCCTCAAATTCTGACAGATTCTAATATGCCTCTTGATACATTTAAGCATGTCAAATGCTCTATCTCACATGGTTTATTGGTGTGTAATTTATTTATTTCTTGCCATTTTCTCTTTCTGGAACTTCTAAGAGTTAGATTTTTTCGCTGTTTTACTTCTCTCATCTTGTCTCTACTTCCTGTTTTGCTATACTCTACTTTCTGGAGATTACTTTCAGTGTTTCTTCTAAACGTTCAATTAAAATGTTAATTTTGGTTATCACAGTTATAATTCTAAATGCAGTCATTCTCTGAACATTCTCTATTTATAGCATCCTGTTGCTTCATAGTTATAATCTCTTCTTATCTCTGAGGATTTTGTTAACATTTTCTTTTGTTCTTTGCATTATCTCCGTTTCTTTCCAGTTCCTTTTGCTTTTTCTTATTTCATTTTAGAGCCTTTCTTTTCATGTCTGTTAAATTGTGGTTGTCCACTCACATTTACATATGAAGCATGGGGAGAGAATATGTTGGGGGAAACATTAAAAAAATATAGATGAGGTACTAACAAGTTAGCTGGAACCACTGTGCATATGCGGACTGGAATGGCCTACTGATGACCCTCACTATGGGAGACCTGGCCATCCCATTGGAGGACCTCTCGTTTTCAGAAATGAGATAGCCTTTGAGCTGGTCAACTTTCTCAGGGACGACCCTCCGATCTTGCTGGGAGAAAGTGGGTGGTATAGTGCCTGTAGAGGACAGGTGCTTGAGAGGACTCCCACTTCAGCAAAGCAGATCCTCACTTATTCCTGTTTTCAGTAAGGTGCCTACATAGACCTAGAGTATCACAAACTACAGGCTCATTCAGTCTTCCCATAGCGTAAAACTCCTGCAGGGGAGGGTTTGTCTCTCAGTTTTACAGGCTGAGGAGGAGGACTGAAAGGCCATATGCTCTTTAAACATGGTTTTCAGCCCGACCCAGAAATACCATGTAAAGAGGTACCCACACTTCCAATGTCTGGGCCTCTCTGTGTTGTGGGCACAGAGACTCTGGCTGCCTCCTGCATGACCGATGTGGCAAAGTGGGAATTAAGTCAGGTACCTCTCCACCTGTCTGCAATCCACTTCCCCAGATTTTATTGATACCGCTCTCCTGTCCCATTATTTGCTCCTGTGGGTTTATATTTCAACAATTATGTTTTATTATGGGCTTATTTCATCAAGAATTTGGGAGGAAGTAGAGATAAAGATGTGCGTTCAGACCACCATCTTTAAGCAGAAGCATATCAATGATTTTTAAAAAACTTTACATTTCTATATGGTTATGTACAGATCTTAAAGGAATAGATAAGATTTGAAAAAGTCTTGAGGAAAAAAGCTGATCCTTCAAAACAGCATTGATATACTCCTACTTTAATTAAGAAATATATTAAACTTACTTTTGAGGCCAATAAGTTAAGCCTAAGGAGTTTAGCCAAGATTCAGGAATAAAAGCCCACACAAGATACAGTACTGCAAAAGATGGGGAAAACAAAAAAGGAAAAAAGATTAGTAAGGCACACATCTGATTTATCAAGATTCAGATTAAAAAAACTCCTTTGAAGGTTCCTTGATTAACCCAGAAATGATTTTTTCCTCCTTATTTGTACCATTCCTGTAACACTTTGCACAATTACTTTCGACTAGTCATTTTGTTTTTCCTTTAGCCACAGGCTTTATTGTTTCAATATCTAGAACTATTATTCTATACATAAAGTTTAATTTCTTACAAAATTCTATACTCCATATTGCCAGGTCACTTCACTCTCCATTTTATACAACATTTCCATCAAGAACTATTTTCCCAAATCACAATCTCCTGATTGTGTGTTGTTGTTTTTGTTCAGTTGCTAAGTTGTGTCCAACTCTTTGCGATGCCATGGACTGTAGCCCACCAGGCTCCTCTGTACATGAGATTTCCCAGGCAAGATCTACTAGTCATTTTTAAAAACTGTGGTTAAAAAACCATAAACGTTACCATCTTAATCAAGTGCATTGTTCAGTAGTGTTAAATATATTTGCACTGCTGTTAAACATATTTCTAGAACTTTTTCATCTTGTGAACCTGAAACTCTATTAAACAACTCCTCTATTTAAAACAAGTATGTCTTAATTCATGTGAAGGAGGAGCATGAAAAAGCTGGCTTAAAACTCAACATTCAAAAAACTTAAGATCATGGCATCCAGTCCCATCACTTCATGGCAAACAGATGGGAAGACAATGGGAAAAAGTGACAGATTTTATTTTCTTGGGCTCCAAAATCACTGCAGATGGTGACTGCAGCCATGAAATTAAAAGATGCTTGCTCCTTGGAAGAAAAGCTATGATAAACATAGACAGCATATTAAAAAGCAGAGACATTACTTTACTGACAAATGTCTAGTCAAAGCTATGGTTTTTCCAGTAGTCATGTATGGATGTGAGAGTTGGATCATAAAGAAAGCTGAGTGCCAAAGAATTGATGCTTTTGAATTGTGGTGTTGGAGAAGACTCTTGAGAGTCCCTTGGACTGCAAGGGGAGCCAACCAGCCCATCCTAAAGTAAATCAATCCTGAATATTCATTGGAAGGACTGATGTTGAAGCTGAAACTCCAATACTTTGGCCAGCTGATGCAAAGAACTGACTCATTGAAAAAGACCCTGATGATGGGAAAGACTGAAGTCAGGAGAAGAAGGGGACAGCAGGGGATGAGATGGTTGGATGGCATTACTGACTTGATGGACATGAGTTTGAGCAAGCTCTGGGGGAAGCTGGTGATGGACAGGGAAGCCTGGTGTGCTGCAGTCCATGGGGTCGCAAAGAGTCAGACATGATTGAACGGCTGAACTGATGTCTTAATTCATACTATTCACACTTAACTCATACTATTCACAAAAATATGTCTTAACTCATACTATTTTAAGCAATTTAAGGGCAGAAATCATGCCTTAAGAACTGTTGTAATTCTTACAGCACCTAGCAATTTTCTTTATATGAAGTAGGTATTCAACACTTCCTTCCTACAGGGTTGAAACAGCTACAGACGATTAGTGGCATAAAGGCGAACTTATCTACCGTTTTCTGATTCATGACATGCTTCATCTCCTAGAGCACAGTCTTACTGCCAAGTTTCTATGGCACCTTTATGCTGGACAGTAACAACAGCCAACCTCTGAGCACTCACTGTAGGCAAAGCACACTTCTCAGCTCTCTGGCACTGTTGTTGAGTTGCTAAGTCATGTCTGATTCTTTTGAGAACCCATGGACTTTAGCCCACCAGGCTCCTCTCTTCATGGAATTTCCCAGGCAAGAATACTGGAGTGGGTTGCCATTTCCTTCTCCAGGGGACCTTCCCAACCCAGGGATCAAACTTGGGTCTCCTGCATTGGCAGATGGCGGATTCTTTACCATTGAGCCACCAGGAAAGCCCTCTAAGCGCTTTACCCATATTATTTCATTTCCTCACAACAATCCCAGGAAGTGTTAGGTTAGTCTTACAGATGAGGAGCTGGAATCTTGGACATGTTACATCATCTGCCCAAGGTTAAGTCAAAGTGTTAGTCACTAAGTCACATACAACTCTTTGCAAGCCCACCAGGCTCTTCTGTCCATGGAATTCTACAGACAAGAATACTGGAGTGGGTAGCCATTCCCTTCTCCAGGGGATCTTCCTGACCCAGGGATAGAACCCAGGTCTTCTGCTTTGCAAGCAGATCTTTTACTGTCTGGGCCACCAGGGAAGCCCTGCCCAAGTGACAGAGACAAATTTCAAACCACCTGTCTCAACCATGATGATTAACATTTTTCTCAACAAATACGTATTACAGAAATCTGTATGTCAGAAGTATGAGAGACAATGGTGAACCCAAAAGAGACGGCCTCTGCCCTCCCCAAGCAGAGGACTGCTGCTAAGTGCTAAGTCGCTTCAGTCGTGTCCGACTCTGTGCGACCCCAGAGACAGCAGCTCACCAGGCTCCCCCATCCCTGGGATTCTCCAGGCAAGAACACTGCAGTGGGTTGCCATTTCCTCCTCCAATGCATGAAAGTGAAAAGGGAAAGTGAAGTTGCTCAGTCGTGTCCGACTTTTGGCGACCCCTTGGACTGCAGCCTACCAGGCTCCTCTGTCCATGGGATTTTCCAGGCAAGAGCACTGGAGTGGGGTGCCATTGCCTTCTCTGAAGCAGAGGACTAGAGATGAGTAAATAAATTGATACTTTCAATACACCATGATAAATATTAATAAGCAAGTAACAACAGATGATGTGGGAACACATATGCGGCCCTCAGCCCATGGTGGTGGTGATGGAAGTGATATTAATGGTCAGGAAAGATTTCCTGGAGGAAGTCATAACGTTGGGGCCTAAAGGATGAATGGGGGTTAGGCAGATGAAAATGCTAATGGCTGGGCTTGCAGTTGTGAGGAAGGAAGGAAATATTAGTAACAAGAAAAGGGTGTTCCTGGCCATGAGATGCAGCAAGAGTGTCAGGAATCAGAGAGAGTGGTGGTAGATGGCAGAGGGAAAAGCTGGAAAGGATTGGGCTTGCAATTTGAGTTTTGAAGGTTAATGAAATACAAATAGTGGCAAAAACATGAGGCAAATTCATAAATAGAAATAATTTGCTTAGTTTAACTAATTAAATGAATGAATATTTATTGTACATCTGCTATATGCTAGGTGCTATGAAAAGGTCAAGGCTCCGAAGAAAAATGAGAAATGGTGTCTATCCCCACAAGTCCTGTGGGTGACAGATATGAGCCAGAAGCAGTGGCAGGAACCTCCCGGGCACTGTCTTATGTGAACCCTCTCAGGCGTGTGCCAAGATTATTCCTCACTCACAGATGAAAAAAACTAAGGTACGGGGAATTTAAGTCACTTGCCCAAGGTCTCAGGGCTAAAAGTTACTGAGATGGAACAAGAACTCAGGGCATGTGTTCACACTGGGCTCCCAGGCAGGAGTCAGAGCGTTGGTTAACAGCATGAAGGAGAAGCGACGTACCTGTGGAACCCCAGGCAGCTTGGAGAGGCTGGGGCATATGGCGGGAGGCTCTGAGTAGTAAGAAACCAGCTGGGCAAAGAACTTGAACTTTATGTTTTAGGCAAGGGGGATAATTGAGTATTTCTGGAAGATCCCCTGGAGGTGGAAATGGCAACCTACTCCAGTACTCTTTCTGAGAAAATCCCAAGGACAGAGGAGCCTGGTAGCCTACAGTCTGTGGGGTCGCAGAGTTGGAGGTAACTGAGCACGCACCCACCCACCCACACACCAAAACAATTCACCATCCAGGCTCCAAGCCAGGCTCCAGAGGTTTTTCATCTGGGGAGTTCAGGCCTGGATCTCACATGCGTTGCTGGGAGAGCTGCGTCTAAGATGTTTTTGTGGAAGAGGAGAGGTTCCAGCAGGCACAAAAGAAGGAGCAGATGAACAAGTTGGGGGAGGAGAAGTGCAAGCAAAGAGGACTCCCAGGGTTTCAGAATGGGGTCTAGTAATTGGAACCCTGAAGAGATTCTCCACACAGCACTCAGAGAGTTCCCCCAAATACTAATCAAATGGCATCATTTGCCGGGTTTTGAACTTTGATGCCTTTAGAATAAAATCCAAAGTCCTTCCTAGGCTTTGCAAGAACTTAAAATGACAGGGCTCCTGCCTGCCCCTCCAAGGTCCAGTCCTCACACACTACGCTTCAGCTCTAGACAGAGTCTCATGTCTGCACTTCAACCTTCAGACGCAGGGTAACTGCTCTTGTAGTGAGCGCTGTCTGCCTGGAATGTTCTTCCTCTGGCTCTTTCAAGGCATGTGGGTTCCTCAGCTTGCTCTTCCAGCTGTGTCCCACCCTCACACCATACCCTCTTACTCCCGGCCATTTCTCTTTATTTCCTTCAAAGCCATTACCACAGTCTACAACCACGGGTATGCACGGAGTATTTGTGCCCCTCGCAGTAAATGATTACGCTGAAAGCCTAATCCCCAATGTGGTGGATTTGGAGGCGGGGCCTTTGAGAGGCAGTTAGGTATAGATGAACTCATGAGGGAGGGCGCTCCATCATGGGATCAGTGTCCTCATGAGACCCAGAAGAGATTGGGGCTGTGCCCTCTTGTACTCCGATATGTGAGGACATGGCAAGAAAGTGATGGTCTGCAAACCATATCAGGGCCTTCACCAAGAACCCAACAATGCTGGCATCCAGATCTTGGACTTCCCTGCCTCCAGAACTGAGAAATAAATATCTATTGTTTAAGCTACTCAGGCACAGCCTAAACAGATTAAGAGAATTAGCTTTTTTAAAGTTAATTATTTATTTGGCTGTGTCTGGTCTGGGTCTTAGTTGAGGTGCACTGGCTTTGCGGCTCCGTGGCACGTGGGATCTTAGTTCCCTAACCAGGGATCGTCCCTTGCATTGGAAGGCGGATTCTTAACCACTGGACCACCAGAGAAGTCCCTACGATTAGCTTTTAAACTCAGTAAGTATTTCAACATACAGAGAGATTCACATAAACCTTGTGCACCTACCACTATGTTTTTGTTTTTTTTTTTAATGTGTTCATTTACTTTAATAACACTACATTTACCATGTTATCACCATGGAATGTAAATTCGGGTTAGACTAGAGAATTTCACAAGTACAACAAAGCATTCTGTGATATGCCAAAGTTTGTATTATGTCTGACCAAGCCAGCTTGCTGATCAATGACTTCCATTATAGGCATTTTATTTAGTTGATGATTCTTTCGGAGAAAATAAACATACTGCACACATTTAAAAAGTGTTTTTCATTTACCTTTGCATTAGCACTTAAAATACATGTTTGAAAATAATTTAAAATTATTCTAACAGCAGCAAAATATAATTCTGCAATTACAAAAGAGCTAAAAGGGATCTACAATTTAAGTTACTCTCATGTTTATAACTATGCTTCTAAAATAAATACTACTTCAAAGTGGCTCTGTTACCAGCTTTTTAGGTTTGGTTTAAAAACACACACAGACTTGCAGGGAGGTTTATAATGTTGTATTCCATGCACTGTTCTGAAGGGTTTCTCAAGAGCCAACCAGCCCTTAAAACGTTACTCAGTCCACAAGACAGTCAGAAAGTTAAATTAACGGGGGTAAATAGGATTCCTATATTACATCAAAAGCATATGATATTCTGCAGCAACTGGGAGCATTTTCAGGACCGGCATGTTGTCTTCTTTAGAACTAATTCCAACAGAAGGGTTTCAGAAGGTGGACAGGTACCGCTATCAAGTGTACTTAAAAGCGATGTGTTTCTTTGGTGCGGATCTGACCCCCCTGAATGACCTAGCTAGTGAACTAGTCACCAGTCACTTGGTCACCAGGCAAATCAGGCCTGCAAGAAAGGAAGCCAATGTTCAAATTACCATGTTCTTGTCTGACCCAAACAACTTATTTTCCGCATAAACATATAACCTCAATGTGAGATGTCTAACTAAAGCAAGCACCACCAAGACCAAGACAGCATCTCCTCTTCTAAGGTTTAGGTTTTCCCCAGAACTCTTGATACAGGGAATAGCCCATACCAAGAGTCATTGCTCCCACAACAAAGCCTTGGGCTGCCACACGCATGTGGATCAGGTGAACAGACATTTTAGTATTTCCCCTGCTCTTCAATCTACATAATCCATATGCAACAATTGCTGCAAAACCTGCCATTGCAATGGGGACAAATGGTGCCTCTCTAGCTTTTTGTATAAGTTTAGATCCCTGATCTTCATCAAATGAAGAAAGAGAAACATCTCTGTCGCTTGACATAGTGACTGAAGAATCTTCAGACAGCTTCAAGACGTTTCAGGTTCCCACCGGATTCTGACCCCGCCTCCGCACCCGCCACCCAGCCGGCTTCGCCCCTACCACTGTTTTATTAGAACTGCTGGGCACTGGCCTCACTGGGTACTGGCTTCCCACCTCCCTTATTACTTTCTGCCTCACTGTCTCAGGCTTAATGACTCCCATCAATTCCCTCAAACCACTGGCATCGTTAGGCTTTTGCACTGGCTGTTCTCTGTCTGAGAGGCTCTTTCTCAACATTGCCATGGCAACTCTCATTTTTTGTGTCTGTGCCTGAAACTCATCTGTCAGTGAGGCACCTCCTGACAGCTGTACTTACAACAGCAAGCTCCTTCCTTACCCTCTTTCTTGCTAAATTTCTCCCCAAGGCATACATTATCATCTGACATTCTATATGTTTTACTCAGGTAAATTGTCCATTGACCGTCTCCCTCCCAGCAGAATGCAGACTCTGAGAGCAGGAAATCTGCGGCTGTTTTGCTCATCTCTGGTCAGTAACAGTGCCCAGCACATGGTAAGCACGCAAGAAAAATTTGTGGAATTAATTTCTGGTTGTGCAATAAATGCTGGAGAGGGTGTGGAGAAAAAGGAACCCTCTTACACTGTTGGTGTGAATGCAAACTAGTACAGCCACTATGGAGAACAGTGTGGAGATTCTTAAAAAACTGGAAATAGAACTGCCATACGACACAGCAATCCCACTGCTGGGCATACACACCAAGGAAACCAGAATTAAGAGACACGTAAAATAAAATAAAACAAAAGAGACACGTGTACCCCAATGTTCATCACAGCACTGTTTATAATAGCCAGGACATGGAAGCAACCTAGATGTCCATCGGCAGACGAGTGGATAAGAAAGTTGTGGTACATATATACAATGGATATTACTCAGCTATTAAAAAAATGCATTTCAATCAGTTCTAATGAGGTGGATGAAACTGGAGCCTATTATACAGAGTGAAGTAAGTCAGAAAAAAAAAAACACCAATACAGTATATTAATGCATATATATGGAATTTAGAAAGATGGTAACGATGACCCTATATGCGAGCCAGCAAAAGAAACACAGATGTAAAGAACAGACTGTTGGACTCTGTGGGAAAAGGTGAGGGTGGGATGATTTGAGAGAATAGCATTGAAACATATATATTATCATATGTGAAATAGATCACCAGTCCAGTTTTGATGCATGAGGCAGGGTGCTCAGGGCTGGTGCACTGGGATGACCCTGAGGGGTGGGATGGGGAGGGAGGTGGGAGGGAGGGTCAGGATGGGGAACATATGTATACCCATGGCCAATTCATGTGAATGTATGGCAAAGACCACCACAATACTGTAATTAGCCTCCAATTTAAAAAAAAAATTTCTGGTTGTGGGTCCTGTTGGATTTAAGTCTTATTAAAGTCATTGCTTTTATTTATCTGTATAGTCTCTAATCCTTCAAATACTCTATAGAACACAGATTTGCAAAAATGATGATGTTGATGGTAACAATCAGAGTCGCAGCTAATGTTTAATTGGGCTTCCCTGGTGGCTCAGATAGTAAAGAATCTGCCTGCAATGCAGGAGATCTAGGTTCAATACCTTGGTCAGGAAATTCCCCTGGAGAAGGGAATGGCAACCCACTCCAGTAAAGTACAGGTTGCCCCCACTTTTTGAAAGTCCACTTTAAGCCATTTTCCTCTTAGAAAAGACCTACAGTAGTATGTTTTCTTTAACCAAAGGAAATCTGAAGAGGATTTTTGCTTTTACTAAAAAACTTTTCTGCATCTGTTTTGCAGGGAGCTGTGGTAGAGGCAGCGTGCACCCAGAGAAGGGAGAGAGGCTCGTCCGAGCTCTTTTCCCAGGGCTACCCTCAGCATCTCAGCATCAAGACACCACAGCTTTCACCTGTGTCTGTGAGCATCTTTACCTGAACTGAGTATTTTTATCAAATTGAGTGCATGAGGTCAACTTTTGTGCATTAGCAAATGTGCCCTTCATTTTATACCATTTCGGCTCTGAAAGGTTTCGTGAGAATGCGTGTGTCTGAAAGTTGCTCAGTTGTGTCTGACTCTTTGCCCACCAGGCTCCTCTGTCCATGGAATTCTCCAGGGAAGAATACTGCAGTGGGTAAGCCATTCCTTTCTCCAAGGGATCTTCTTGACCCAGGGATCGAACCCAGGTCTCCTGCATTGCAGGCAGATTCTTTACCGTCCAAGCCACCTCCAGTTTTGCAAGGGAAACCTCTACTTACTGTTCCTATGCCTCACATTCTTTTAAGTGCTCTGCATAAATGATGGCAATTAATCTTTACAATAGACATAAAGAGGCAGCACAGTGACAACAACCCCGTGTGCCGGGGTGGAAATTTTAACTATCATTTACCAACAGTGTGACCTTGGGCACATTATTTAAGCCCCGTGTGCTCAATATTCTCATCTGCAAATGAGAACAGTAATGATAATTTCCATCTCACAGGACTGTCTTATGCTTCCTTAGCTTTTGATAGACATGACCACCCTTCCACAGATGAAGCCTCTGAAGAATCGAAGACGCAAAGAGTCCTCCACAAAGCAAATCTGTGGAGGAGTCAGGATTTGGACTCAAGCTATAACTACTTCACAGACTGTCCTAGCCACAGCTTAGTTGGCTATACTGATGCAGTTAGGATTCATAAGCACTGCCACTCCATCTCCCTGGTTTCCACAAAATTCTAAAAAGTTTTGGGTACCCACTTTTCTTCCTAATTCTCAAATCCTTCTAGGGAGAGACATGAGGCCTGCTATATGACTCTGGGAATATGGTGTGTCAGTGAACAAGCTTTCTTATCTGTAAAATGGGACCATAATGGGGACTGACTGAGACCCAGGATGTAAAGTGCAGCTGACTTCCGGAGCGATTCCTGTTCCTCCCAAGCTCCCACAGCTGCACTGGGGCCATATCAGATTACTCCTTTCCAAACCTCACCATGCGTCCCTTCAAGGCCTTCCCACTTCTTCCTTCTTCCTGCTGCAGATCAAGTCCCTGGGAGAAAAATTAACTCTTTCTTTTTCTGGTTGCATTGCCTCAGAGCCTTGTGGGATCTTAGTTCGATGACTAGAAATCGAACCTGAGCCTTGGCAGTGAGAGCTCAAGAGTCCTAACCACTGGATCGCCAGGGAATTCCCTGAATTTCCATGTTGATTTATCTCTTCACTAGGTGCCCATGGCGCCTATCACAGTGTTGTAATTGAGATTTAACCTTCTGTCTTGTCCACAAAACCAAGACCTTCTTAAGGGCAGGGGTCAGGTTTCATTCCCTCTGCAATCCTGCCTGGTGAGGCATTTTCAAAGATCTGCTGAGATTAAATCTTTCAGGCTCATGTCTGGAATACAGAACACTCTGAAAAGACAAGAGTTCTCTTCAGGTTTTCTCAAAAAGAGACAAAGGCAGAAAGAATCACAGTTCACGTGTGCACATTCTACGAACAAACAGAAAAATTTCCTTTTCCTTGAACATCAGAGAAAGGCCCTGGCCATCCATCAGGAGAGTACTTACTGAAACCAAACTGGGAGCTTAAGAAAAGAACAAAGCCATAAATCGCTCTTTCTGGCAATGGCGACGGTGAATTTTCCACCATTTTCCCCGTGGCTTTAGATATTCTGTGGGGGAAAACAAAAGCAAGTCATCTGTCAGTGATCCACTCATTTTCACTATGGGTCTATTGTAATCTCACCGCTTTGCTATGGGCACAGCCTCTGCGTTTCTCTAGTAAACCAAACAGGCGACACCGGTGCACTGACCTCCGACACACACCTGCTTGCACACGTGCACAGAAGCACCCAAACGTTGCCTGCGCGAGCAACCAGCCCCCCAACCTCACGTGCGCGCGCACGTCCTACAGGGAAAGGTGTGGGGAGGCAAGGGGAGAGCCGGGGAGGGGGGGAATTGAACGCCACCCCAACTGTGCAGGCTTCGCCTCCGTGAGAACAGGGAAGAAAAGGGCAAGGAGGGATGGGGCGGCCCGCGCGCAAGCGCCCTCCCGCCTCGGCCTCGACACCCAGAACTGGGCCCTGCCCTCTCGTAGGTCAATTTTCTCATTCGAGTTCCCCCCCGGGTTGCGGGGTGGCCCTCGACCTTGGGTCCTCCAAGCGCTGACTCCCCCCGCGGGACGTTCGGCCACCTCAGGGCCGAGGCCTCGGCGCAGGCGCGGACCAGGGGATCCGCAGGAAGGCGAGAGAGGACAAACTGCGCACCGCCCGGTCGCCACGGCAACCCCGCCCGCGCGCAAGCGCACCGCGACTCGGGTCAGTCAGCCGCTCGAGAGCGCGGGGGCGAGCGGGAAATCGCCGGGCTCGCGGCGGGGGGCGTGGCGTGGCGTGCGCGACGGCGCATGTGCGGTGCGGCTCACGTGACGCACGTCCTCCCGCCCCCCCCACCCCAGCCGTCGCCGGGCCGCTGGCGCCCACCCGCCCGCCGACTGACGTGGAGGGCCTGAGGAGGCGGCGGCGGCGGCGGCGGCTGCCCGCGTCCGAGGCTCGCGGGCTGCGAGCCCCGGTGAGTGCACACCTGGCGCGCGGCGGGGCTGCCGGATGTGTCAGCTTGTCGCGCAGCAGCCGAGATGCCCGGGGCGAGGGGCCCTCCACACCCCCTCCGTGGGTGTGTGGTGAGTGTGGGTGTGTGCGCGTCGTTGGCTGTGGTGCCTGCAGTGTGTGTAAGGGGCGGGGGGGATGGTGTCGGTTCGAGGTGTGTGTGTGTGGTGTGTGTGGCCGGTGTCGTCGGTCCCAGTAGGTGTGTCGTCTTTTGTCTGGTTTCCTTGTTCTGCAAGTGGGGGTCCCTCGGGGCTCCTGTGCGAAGGTGGGAGAAGCCCCTGTGTGTGCGCGTCCTCCGGCCGCCCGCGCGCCCTCGTCGCCGTCGGTGCGCGGGTGACACCCCCGCTAGCCTTGGGGGGGTCCGCCGGCCCGAGCGCGCGTGGACACGCGAGGTGTCTCCCCTCCCGGCCCCTTTGTGTCCGCGCAGATTCTTCCCGGCCCGGGCGTGGGCGCCCGGGCTGTGTGGGTGCCCCCTCTGCCTTGGTGTCACAGCCTCTCTCGGGGGTGCTCGCCCCCCCCTTGGTGTCAGCCCCTCTCGTGGTGCTCGCCCGCCCGCGCGCGCGTGGCCGCGCCGCCTGCAGTCGTGACCCACCCCCTTGCAGCAGCGCTCTCGTGGGGGTGCGTCCTCGCGTGTCCCCGCGCGCCTGGGTCCTAGCGAGTGCGTGTTCTCCGGGGTGCGGGCTTTCGTTCGAGAGTGTTGGTGAACGTTCTTGCACGTCCCCCTCCTCCTGTGTTGCGTTCTTTACAAATGCGCCACCTGTTTTCGAGAGAATGGCTGCCGAGTGTGGGGAGGGGGTCGGGGGAGGGAGACCTGAACGCAGTGCTCGCTGCGCCTCTTCGGAGCATCCTCTCCTCCACCCCCCATCGCTAATGGGAAGAGGCAGGGACAGCCGTGGGTCCGGCTACCTGCTCGGTAGTGTTTAGGATGTCCAGTGTGGCCGGTCGAGTCAGCCTGTTCTGGGGACGGAATAAGGGGGCCAGGGGCCAAAAATGGAGCTAAGGCGTAGGTGAATGTTATTTGGTACCCGTGTGGCGTACCATTTTTAGAGGCCTCCTAAGATGCCCAAAGATCTCCGATGGCAGACTCCTTCCAAAATGTATATATACGCGACAGCTGGGCGAATACGTTCTAGCCAATCCTAGGCGTTCTTGATGATACTTAATGGTTCACGTAAGTGTTTCGAGGCATTCACATAAATTACCTTTTTTAGTTTCTGCCCAGCGTCCTGGCGATGGAAACAAGGTAGACAGCTTACAGGTTTCAGTCCTCCTTTGGGAGCAATTTTCTCATAATTACAGCTCTGGTTAGGTACATTTTGTATTGCAGGAAATTTGCGTTTTATCCTAAGGGAGATGGGATTTATTATAAGGCTTCACAGGGAAGGAAGCTTCAAACACGTTAGAAACCCAGCTGCTGCTCTTGCTGAAAGGTTCGTGCTCTGCGCTCAAGGGCTGCATTTTTGGTCTCTGTTTCTCCCTGTTCATTTGCTCAGTTTTCTTACTCCTGCCTAACTTTCTGGGATTTTGTTTCTTTTCAATTTCTGGAAGATTTCACACATAGAATACAGAGTGGGATCTAACCAATTCATGACTAAGATTTGCAGATGTATTTTGCCGAATTTACTTCAGATCCTCTTTTTAATTTAAAAGAACTAAAATTGCAAAATGTGGAGGTGCTCTCATTTCCGCCCCTCCTTTCCTAGAGATAGTCACCGTGTTTAGGTTTGTGTATATCTGCTTGCATATTTTATATGTTGATCACGGTGAATCGATAAACAATATATAGTGTTGTGTATTTTGAACTTTAATGTTATTAAACAATATGTGTCTTTTTGCAACTTGCTTTTTTTGATCAGCATCACATTTTCAGATTTACATGTGAATAAATTGGGTAATTGTGTTTGGTTCATTTTAATTGCTGGTATAGAATTCCATTGTATGAATATACCATAATTTACTTATCCGTTTTGCTACTGATGGACTTTGAAGGTTTTTTACTCTAAAAACAGTCCTGCCTTGAACATCTTTGTATTTGTCTGCTTTGTGCACACGTTTGGAAATTTCTTGAGAAAATACACCAAGTAGTGGATTTTGCTGCATAGTAGGATATATGCATCTTCAATGTAACCAAATATCAGGGAAGCTCTCAAAGTGGTTGCACTAACTCATCACTCTGACTGGTATTGAGTGAAGGCACCTATTTCCTCACACTCTTGCTAAACCCTTTATGTTACCTGAGTTACATTTTTGCCTTTTATTTACTGACCAGCTTGCTTGTAACTTTAACTTGCAGCTAAATTTGCTTACCTTGGCTTCTGCTCTAGCCCTGTGTGAAGCCTATGGGTTCCTCTATCACAGCTGACTCAAGCTTTTATCTCATTCGGTTCTCATAAAGTTAATTGCAGTGAACATTTATTTTGTACCTAATGTACTTCCTATGGTTGATGTAAGATAAAGATTTCCATGGTATGTTAGATGTCCCTCTCTGGTGGCAGGTGAGGTGATTTAATTACTTTTTTGCATATGATGAATGGATTTTTAAAAATCTTTTTTCCTCTTTAATGTACTACTTACACTTAATGCTTTCAAAATATATGTGACATATATGCAAGTTGTGAAGCAAAACAGTAAAATGAACTCCTCTCAACCCACCACTCAATCCAAGAATCAAAATGACAATTTTGAATGTTACCATCCCCAGGGTGACTGCTATTGAATTGTGTGTCATTCCTTGTATTTTAAAAATGATTTTATCAAATATGTGTATATCCCTCAACAGTATATTGTGTGGTCTCTATTGTTTTTGAATTTAAAAAAAGGAATACTGGATACAGTTTGTTGGGCTGGCTTATTTCACTCAATGTTATGTTTTTGAGAGTCACTGATATTCAGATAGACATGTCATTAATTTTCATGGCTGTGTAATATTCTGTTGGAGAATATAACACAGTGTATGCATTCTTCCATTGATGAACATTTCGGTTGTTTCTAGGTTTTGCTGTTTTGAAGATTCTTATATATATCTTCTGGTACACAGTTGCAAGAATTTCTCTACTTTTCACACTGGGATATATGCCTTCCAGGGAAGAAATAAAGATTTTTCTGAGGAGTATTTGGGCACAAGTGATATTAATAAATCAATTGGTAGATCATTAAATTCCACGTGTATCCTTTCCTAAAATTGGTAATGCCTGAACCCTGTGATGGAAACTTCCTCTTGGTTCTATTTGCCCACCTCCCCCTTCAGAGTAGCATTTCTGCCTTAAATTAGGAAGGCATACCACCTACTTGCCTGGAATCTTACCAGGGTAATGTCCCAATTGAAAAACTCTCCATGGTACAAAAGGATAATTTAAAATACATGCAGCTGTAGTGTTAGGGAACACTTCCTTTTAATGCAGACATTTTCCATCTCCTCAAGAGCTGCATTTCCAAAAAACTGTAACTTTTATGTTTAGTATCAACGTATGTAGGTTTTCCCAGGTGGTGCTGGTGGTAAAGAATCTATCTGCCAATGCTGGAGGTGTAAGAGACACAGGTTCAAACCCTGGGCAGGGAATATCCTCTGGAGGAGGGCATGGCAACTCACTCCAGTATTCTTGCCTGGAGAATCCCGTGGACAGAGGAGCCTGGTGGGCTACCATCCATAGGGTCACAAAGAGTGGCACACAACTGAAGTGACTTAAGAGTGCACACACACATACACGTCAGTATATATACTAATTATTTTTTGATGAACTCTATGCTGTAATAATTACAGCATTTTAAACCAGTGATATGTCAGTGTTATTTTAAAATGTCACTGTGATACTCTAGCGATTCATCCTTTGCAATTAAACTTAGAACTGAAATTTTTTAGATGTCATTTTTAAAATATGAGTGTAATATTTAATAGCATTTATTGTGGTTCATGAGTAAAAAGAATGTTGAAATACCACTGTGGCAAGCTATTTACTAGAAGTGGAATTGCTGGACTATGGGTATGAATGTTCAACTATAAAATGATACCAAATTGTTTTCTGAAGTGGTTGTACCAGCTTAAGCTTTGGTCAGCTGTTTTGTCAATTTATATACTTTGATTAGCTTTGTGTTAAGAGTTATGGTTGATCTCTATCCTTTGCAACACTTGTTACTTGTCAAACTTCTTAATATTTGCCAAATGGATATGAAATATGCATTGTGGTTTTAATGTGCATTTATTGATTGTTAATAACTTTGAACATCTTTTTCTTTGTGTACCATCTATCTCCCCTTTGTTCACAGAAAGGAAATAGGTCGTTCACACACAAACACACAAATACCTGGTCATATCTCTTACCCACTTTTCTGTTGGGTTCTCTTTTAAAACTGTAATAGGTAACTAATCATTTATTGAGTATAAACATTGTAAATATCTTATTCCAGTTCATGGTCGGTCTGTTTGCACTTTATGGTGTGTTTTGGTGAACAAAAGTTCTTAATTTTAATGTAATCTAATTGGAAATTTACCCTACCCTGGGATCATAAAGATGTTCTCCTGTGTTTCTGTTTAAAAATTTTAAAATGATGCCTTTCACATTTAAGTTGGTAATCCATCTGGTACTGATTTTTGTATATGGTGTGAGTTAATGATCCACATTCATTTTTCCCTCCATGTGGCTACAGTTGACCACATACCATGTATTAAATTGGCTCTCTGTTCACCAGTGATCTGCTGAACCACCTTTTTTGCATGTTTAGTTTCTATATGCATGGATCTGTTTCTGACTCTCCTTTCTGTACCACTTGTCCACCTGTCTATCTGTTGCTAGCACCCTGTCATGATTATTAACGCTGTAGTTTTACCTGACATCTAGATGCCTGGGGAGCCACTTGAGTCTTAGCTGTTCTTGTAAGAATCAGCTTGTCATATGACAGAAAAAGCTCTTTGGGCACGAATTAGAATGATTAAAATCAGTTTGGAGAGATTTGAAATCTTTAAGATTTTGGGGTATGTATTTGCTTTTATTTAGGTTTCTAATGGCTTTTGATACAGTTTTGTGAATTTTCCCTTACAGATCTAACAGTTTTTAAGTGTTGATTCTGATGTTTCTAGGAGTTTAGTT